CCCCCTGTGCATGTGCACATGTCTTCCGCATGTGCCCCACCCCCCGCATATCCTAAAAATCAGCTGGCTGGCGGGAGGCATGCGCGCGCATGCACAATGGAGCTGAGCTGGGCGACGGCTTGCGTGCCTATAGAGAGGACTCTGTGTGCCAGTTGTGGCACGCATGCCATAGGTTCACCATCACGAATCTAGTCCAACGTTCTATTCTACAGGAACTCAGAAGCATGGAGATGAGAGCGCTAGCTTTCTTTCAATGCTATTCTTTATCTAATGGGCTTATTTCAGAAGTTACTATATAGCTATCAAAAATGTCACTGATATACCTTCTTACATGATACTAGGCTTTGGAGTTATGGGCTCCATTCCTGGAAGCAATCGCCTGAATGGCTGCTCTTTTCTTGAGTTACTTCATGATCTTAAGGGATCCTGCCTAATCGACCATTTAGGTGGTAAAATGTATTGTGTTACTTATTCAAAACCTACTAAATAATTTCTGTTGAATTTGAGCATTCTTCTATTCTTGGTCCCTGGCAAAGGCAACCCTAATATTGTGGCCCAAGGTCCCCATAGCATATTGGTTTCAGCTGCCACTGAATGAATGAAAGAAACCAGCATCTAAGTTAAGATAAACTCGACTGTTTATCAACTGATGTCTCATTACTTGATTAAAAAGTTTGACTTGTTGCTGAATGCGTGAAACTGAGCCAGTGGGAAAAATATTGTGTTGGTGTTGTTCTGATTTTGTTTTCCTCTGATCCTGGATCTGGAATATTGTGCATAACCAGGCAGGAGTCTGATGCTAGAAAGAACCTGCAGCTGTGGCCTGGCAAGCAGAGAGTAGAGGAGAGGTCTTGAAGATGACATCTAGGGAAGAAGGAGGTGATGGAAGTAGATGGGACAGGAAAGTCTTGGTTCAGAAGAAAGTAGGATGACAGTAGGATCCTCTGTAGGATGTGATGGAAGTAGATGGGACAGGAAAGTCTTGGTTCAGAAGAAAGTAGGGTGACAGTAGGATCCTCTGTAGGATGAGAGCACAGGTGGAAATTCTTGGACAGGAAAAGCTAACAGCCCAGACCCTCAAGCAAAACTGGAGCCATGCCAGATGACAGTCACTCCATGCAAGAGTTGGTCTGGAACATAAATTGTTTCAGTAAATTGATTTACTCTATCCTCTGCATTTGGCTGTTCTTGTCTGAAAGAAGCATGGACTTCAGATATTTTGAAAGAAGCATGGACTTCAGATATTTTGAAAGAGGCATGGACTTCGGATATTTTGAAGTGCCCCACTCCATGCAAGGAGAGAAATTAAATGCATCCAGTTAATGCCATTTTAATTTTAGAAACTGGGGTTCCACTAAAACTGCCAGAGCAATTCATTTGGCAACTTTCAGCTGCTATCGTTCCCTGGGGCATACATTCCCGCTGGCCTATTTCAGTGGATCGGTGGATACTGATCCTACTGAGAATTGCCTATTTAAATTCTCTAGGACGTGGAGGACCATTTTTGGCTTGCCTTCAAGGCTCCAAAGAACAAAGATGAGTTCCAGGCAGAGCAACAAATCAAAGTGCAGGGACGTGGCAGTGGGAGGAACAGCGTAGCAGATGTGAGCTGTTAAGCGTGCACTTTCTAATTAGCTGTGCTCCTGACCCCTTTGTAGGGTAATCATACAACTCCCATAGTTTCTTTGGTTCAGAAAAGCATTCCCACTGTTGCCATGGGAACAAAACACATTTGAATAATTAACACATCAATCAGCTGTCTCCGTGAAACTGACGTAAGCCACTGTGTCATTAGAGCATTGGCTTCCTCAAGCACAAATATCGTTGAATAGGATGATATTATATCATCTGGGGAATAACTTTCTCTGTAGCATCCAACCTAGGCAAGCTATGAAGTTGCTAGCAGTAGAAGCCAAGGGAACAATGTTATGTATTCGGTACAGGTGTTTTAAATAGAGCTGCGCAGAAGAATTCTGCATATATGTTGTTTTTTTTTCTAGCACGCTTCGGTCCATTTAATGAAATGGCATTTGTTTCAAGATTTTCTTTTCCAAATAAGAGAAGACTTTAATTAAAATTCTCGTGTGCATAAGGTCACCTGCAGAAGTCTGTGAAGGTCCATAGTACATGATACAATCATCTGCTAGCTATCAACAGCTTCCTAAGCTTCCAAGCTTCTATTATTTTCCAAAAGAAGACAAAACTAGGGGCTTCTTCAGATTAGGAAATAGCAAAACCAGAGGATAGAACTGTACAAATCTTTTGAACGATGCTTCAGAATGCACGGCGCACCCCATGAAGCGCCTCTTTTTGCATTATTAAGCAACCACATGAGGTGCTTCAAAAGGAGGTTGCTGGGCAGCTGCACAGAAAGATATTTTGCTTCAGTGTTCAAAGGCGATGTAACCAGGAAATGGGACCGATAGAACAGGCCAATGCTTCATTGTTCCTCTTCACTTTCAGACCGGCATTTTTGTTCAAGAGGCAAAAGTTGGAAGTCTGGAGTGAAATAGTCATTCCCAAAAAAAAAAAAAAAAATCTGCCCCATGTTTGATCCAACCATCTTCTATTTACGAGGCAGGTATTATGACCATTGCTCTATTACCGCGTTCATGATGAAATGAGCTGTAATTGTGTTAAAAAGCAGAATAAGCACCAATTCAGTTGATGGTGCACTCCTGCCTTGATGAAGTAGCAATGAAATACAGCATTTAGCCAACAACAACCCCAACTCAGGGGTGGGCTGCTGGGGTTTTGCAGGGGTTCAGAACAACCTCTAGCTAAGATTCTGTGCAGTTCGGAGAACCCCTAAATCCCACTCTTGGCTGGCCCCGCCGACCTCACCCCGCCCCTCCCAGGAGTCCCCACGCGGCCCGTTTTGGATGCAGGTAAGTGCAGGGCACGCACAGAGGCTCAGGGAGGGTGAAAAACGGGCCTACCAGAAGTTCAGGAAGGCCGGAAACAGGGCTGTTTCTAGCCTCCAGAGGGCCTCTGGAGCCTGGGGAGGCCATTTGCGCCCTCCCAGAGGCTCAAGGAAAGCCTCTGGAGCCCAGCAAAAATGCCTCCCCCCTCCCCCATTGTGATGCAAGAGGCCAACTAGGCCATGTCCACCATGACCACGCCCACCCAGCAACCAGGCAGAGAACCCCTTGCTAAAATTTTTGAAGTCTACCCCTGCCCCAACTGCTCTATGGTCAAAGATCCTCAAGGCAAAAAAATATAGAAAAGTATACTTGGAAGGGCAGTAAAAAGCCCACCAAACTGTCTTTGACATCATGTATGGGCTTAATGGAGGATGATGCCAATTATTTGTGTCCTCCAGAAATGGTGGTTGTCCCGTTTCGGTGAACGGCAAACAGGAGAATGTAAGGAAGCTTCTCATGAAATAGAAAAAGGAAAAATAAAAAACTTATTTCATTCAGCATGGCTTCCAGTATCTTTATGGCCCATGGCAGCAATACAGAATGGCTACTATCGTCTTCCAGAAAAAAAGGAGGGATTGAAGGGTTAATTCTTTTTATTGTTTTATTTTTTTTTAATTTCCTAGTTTACTTTTCAAGTTCATGCTCTTCTACAAATCAGCATTTACAGATAGGCCTTCACTTAAAACAATTCTCTAGTTGACCGTTCAAAGTTAAAACAGCACTGAAAAAAAGTGACTTATGACCATTTTTCACACTTATGACCTTTGCAAACTCATCCCCATGGTCACGTGATCAGAATTCAGCTGCTTGGCCATTGGTTCATATTTATGATAGTTTTAGTGTCCCAGGGTCATGTGATCACCTCTGACACACAAAGTCAATGGGAAAGCCAGATTAATTTATCAATTTGTTGTTGTTGTAGTTGTTAGTTGCAAAGTTGTGTCCAACCCATTGTGACCCCATGGACAACGTTCCTCCAGGCCTTCCTGTCCTCTATCATCCCCTGGAGTCCATTTCGCCAACTGCTTCAGTAACTCCATCCAGACACCTCGTTCTCTGTCATCCCATTCTTCTTTTGCCCTCAATCGTTCCCAGCATTAGGCTCTTCTCCAGTGAGCCCTTCCTTATCAACTTAGTTATTACTAATTTAACAGCTACCAATGGTGGGTTGCCACCGGTAGTAAAACCGGTGGGAGGCTCCATCCACCGACCCCGACGTCATCAGGAAGCTTCTGCGCATGTGCGGCCCTGTTGCGAACCGGTAGTAAAGGTAAGTAGAACCCACCCCTGTCACAAACATATGAAGAACGGTTGCAGGAACTGGGTATGTCTAGTTTAATGATAAGAAGGACTAGGGGAGACATGATAGCAGTGTTCCAATATCTCAGGGGCTGCCACAAAGAAGAGGGAGTTCAAGCTATTCTCCAAAGCACCTGAGGGTAGGACAAGAAGCAATGGGTGGAAACTAATCAAGGAGAGAAGCAACCTAGAACTAAGGAGAAATTTCCTGACAGAACAATTAATCAATGAAATGTTTTTGCCTCCAGAAGTTATGAATGCTCCAATACTGGAAGTTTTTAAAAAGAGGTTGGATAACCATTTGTCTGAAGTGGTGTAGGGTTTCCTGCCTAAACTTCACTGAATTTTGGGTTCAGTTGTGGTCGTAAGTCTGCTTGAATGATGACTACTGGGGTGGAACTGAGAGATGGGTTTTCCTCTCTCATTTCCATTTCTTGTAAGTTTAGGCTATTGTCACCTTTTCTTACCTCTCCCTGATTTACTTATTCTCCATTTCTGCCTTCCCCCCCCCCCTTCTTCTCTTCTGATCTACCTAATTCTCCATTTCCTGTTTTCTGAATTATCATTATTCTTCTTGAACTGAACTATTGAATTATCTTCCTGGGTTATCTAGCATTGTTAATAACTGCTCCCTCATGAGAGTTGTAACAATAACATTGAAAACTTGCTAAACGGTGAAATGCTGATTGACTTCTTTCGTTTTTAACGGTATCCAAGTTATTTTTTCTTTCCCTTCAAGATAATCGAAGCTAAATTTCTTTCTGTTTCTAAACGCAGGCACAATTCTTTCAGGAGACATTTGCCAAGGCAAATGCAGGTGTCTAGCATCGATTTTAACATGGGTCCAGAACCAGTTTTACAAAGAGGGGAGACCACAACCAGCATTGGACGGATAAAACCTGAGCTTTACAAGCAAAAGTCTGTGGATTCCGAAGGCAAGAAAGAGGACGTGAAAACTTGTGGAAAACTCAACTTTACCCTCAAATATGATTATGAAAATGAACTGCTTTTGGTCACCATCGTTAAAGCTTTGGAGTTACCAGCTAAAGACTTTACGGGAACCTCAGACCCGTATGTGAAAATCTACCTTCTTCCAGACAGGAAAAAAAAGTTTCAGACCAGGGTTCATAGGAAGACTTTAAACCCTGTCTTTAATGAAACTTTTCAGTTTCCTGTGGCCTACGATCAACTTTGCAACAGGAAGCTACATTTCAGCGTGTACGATTTTGACAGGTTTTCTAGACACGATATGATTGGGGAAGTTATTCTTGATAACTTTTTTGAAGTTTCTGATCTATCTAGAGAGGCTACAGTATGGAAAGATATCCATTGTGCCACTACAGTAAGTACCCTGTCTCAAAAAAAAAAAAAAAAAGTTTTAAGAGATTTCAAAATAAGTAAATCTTGTACCTTCATACTAAAACTCCTCCATCTTTTCTTTCTGTAGCTATTACATATAACACCATAGGGTAACAATGGGTTTTTAACCCATATCAAGACTTTGGGAATGGAATGGAATGGAATGGAATGGAATGGGATGGGATGGGATGGGATGGGATGGGATGGGATGGGATGGGATGGGATGGGATGGGATGGGATAGGATAGGATAGAATAGAATAGAATAGAATAGAATAGAATAGAATAGAATAGAATAGAATAGAATAGAATAGAATAGAATAGAATAGAATTCTTTATTGGCCAAGTGTGATTGGACACACAGGGAATTTGTCTTGGTGCATACGCTCTCAGTGTACATAAAAGAAAAGATACATTTGTCAAAAATTTTAAGACATTTATGAACATATTACTGATAGCCTTCCAAATACAGAGATCACTGGATTCCACTTTTTCAGATCTGTACAAGAACTTTACTTTCGTCTAAAGAGAGAAAAAATAAAGTTTCGGGTATAGACTCTTAGGAAGACATTAATCCTGTATTCAATTAACCTTTTCATTTTCCTATAGTCTACATTTCATTGAATTACACCTCAGTTCCCTTATTATTACCATTTATTATTCTCACTTCCTTTATGTCAGACCAGGTGTTGAAGGTGGCTAATATTAACAAAAATAAGAACTTAATGATAGAATTATAATTAAGTGTAAGTAAGATCCATACCAAATCAACTCATAATTGAACCCATAATTTACTAATATTAGGTAATGGTGCTTACATGAAATCTGGGATGAAGCCTGGAGTGTCACAGAGTTGAGTTTTATGATGTCTTTATCTAGTTCAGGCAAGTGGAAATATGGACTAGTCTCATTCTTAGGTCAATCTATTAATGATGATAAATCTTATTCTTTATTTATTTTTATTTATTAGTCATATTTCTATGCCACCCACTCTCTGAGGACTCTGGGCGGCTTACACCAAAGACAGTATACTAAATAGCATATTGCCCCCAACAATCTGGGTCCTCATTTTACCCACCTCGGAAGGATGGAAGGCTGAGTCAGTCTTGAGCCAGTGAGATTTGACCCGCTGATCTGCTGAACTAGCAGTCAGCTGAAGTAGCTGCAGTACTGCACTCTAACCACTGCACCACCTCGGCTCTTTTGTAGCCATTCTTTTTCGTATGGACAGTCAGAGGTATGGAAAAATTACTTCTGAGGCTGTAGAAAACAGAAGCTCTCTGCAAATACAGAAACAGATTGTGTTTGCAATCTGTACTATCTTAGCAATGACCATGGTTAGGTTTTATTTAACAAGAAGTTGCTCCTTTAAAAAAAACAAAAGCCTACAGGAACCTAAACAGTGTCAAAGTCTAGACTATTTATTATTTATTTATTTTATTTATTTAATTTGTCAAACATGTATGAGATAACAGGAATAAGTACAAACATGGATATGAACACAGAAAATGGGTATGAATAAATGGGGACAGTAGGACAGGGATGGTAGGCACGCTGGTGCACTTATGCATGCCCCTTACAGACCTCTTAGGAATGGGGTGAGGTCAACAGTAGACAGTTTAAGGTTAAAGTTTTGGGGCTTTGGGGTTTGGACTAGCACTGATGACGTTACCTAGTTTGGGTAATGAAAACAGCCAAACTCAAAGGACCCCTAATTTCAACCCTGAGCTACAAATATTCTCCTTTATTAGTGTCAAAGGCATTACACATGGAAAGGGGCATTAAACAATCCATTCTAGTCCCTTGGATTTAGTTTTAAAAAGTACCCACAGATGATCATGCTATAACATTCAGAAATTGCAATGGTCTTATGGTCACATGTGGAAATAATCAAAGTTAGCTTTGAAGAGGAAGCTTTTCAAGACAGAGCTGGAAACATGCAGAATGATTGGAGTTAAGTTCGAAGACACATGATACAAAGAAGACGACTTTGTCTTCATTGAATGTCAGCCACCATGCTTGGGAATTCTAGGAGTTGAAGCAGTGGTGAAATTCAAAAGTTTTTTACTACCGGTTCTATGGGCGTGGCTTGGTGGGCGTGGCTTGGTGGGTGTGGCAGGGGAAGGATACTGCAAAATCCCCATTCCCACCCCACTCTGGGACCAGCCACAGGTGGTATTTGCCAATTCTCTGAACCACTCAAAATTTCCGCTACTGGTTCTCCAGAACTTGTCAGAACCTGCTGGATTTCACCCCTGAGTTGAAGTCCAAACTTCTTAAAGTTGCTGAGGTTTGGAAACACTTTTCTAGAGATATCAAGACTTCTGGACACCATCCTAAGAACTGCTGAGCTAATTGTGTAACCTATTTGTCATCAAATTTCTCCAACATTGATCACAGATGGGGTGGGAATGGTTGTAGAAGAAATGAGCCAATGGAGGAGACAAATTCTATTATACCCTTGGCTCTGCTTAGACTAAGTGTAACCTTTAGTGATCAAGATATAAATAGCTCCAGCAGCATGCAATTAGTTAGCATTTAAAGGGAGATGGCTTTTTAAATATATTATCATAGTTCACTGTTACGCAGAGGGGAGAAAAGGCAAGATTTTTCACTTTTAAAACTCAGCATGGCCATAGAGATTCGGTGCTTATGACTGGTTCTTTTGAATGAGTGGCTTTTAATGTGAGTAAGATTTCCTAATATATAGATAACATTCTGACTTTAACAGGAACCCTTTCAGCTCTCTGAGGCACTCAAAGCCAATTATATTGTCCGGTTTAGTGTGCTTGTTTCCTGATGTGGTGCTAATGAACAAGGGTTTCTTTTTTTCTTTTCTTTTTTATTAGAATTCTAAATCACAAGCTTTCTACTTCACAAGAGTAAAGTGAGAGAGAGTGGAGGTCTTGCATTGGAAAATCCACAATCCAGCTGTGAAGCTCCTGAATGCAGTGAGCTAGGCTTTAATAAAAGCTTTAGAAACAGAAACTCGGCCCACGAATCAGGCTAAAGACAATGGAATTTAGATTTGATGTAATATAATGAGTGAATACTATCCCTGTGGACTGTATGTCTATGGAGACTCTCAATCATCAAATAATCTTACTAATTATCCCAAGCTATGGAGGGACGCGGTGGCTCAGTGGCTAAGACGCTTAAATTCTTTCCAATGACAGCCTTTAGGATGGCTGGAGAAGCCTGAGGCATTGACCAAGAGGAAGACGTACATATTGAGTATGTCTAGTTTAATGAAAAGGAGGACTAGGGGTGACATGATAGCAGTCTTCCAATATCCAAGGGGCTGACACAAAGAAGGGAGAGTCAACATATTCTCCAAAGCACCTGAAAGCAGAACAAGAAGCAATGGATGGAAACTAATCAAGGAGAGAATCAACCTAGAACTAAGTTAAAATTTCCTTAATTAGAAATGAATTTGTTAAGGATATAGTTGTGAGATAACCAGGAATGGTTATGAAACAGAGCATGGAGTTTTGCGCATGGAAACGGTGCTGAGAATAATTGTGAATAAACCACATACAAACTGGTTTTTAAAGTATTTTACTTATAGAGCAAGGCAAAATCATAGTCCTTTTACCAATCCAAGTCTTAGCCATGCATAATCAATCCAGAGATACAAAACTTCTTACCGGTTCGTAGAACAATACATGAATCATTCAGGAACAATATAAAAACAGTTCATAAAAGCAGTAATAAATAAACCATTATCAGATTGACCATGTAAAGAGATCAAAGATATCTACAACATAGCAGCAGGTAACAATATGGTGTAATGTCCACATTGACCACAATCAAGCTCTCCTAAAATACAGCTGCTACAGAGCTCATCCAATCAGGATGCAGAATGACTCAGCAATACTCTTAAAGCTATATTATACATATTCATACTATAAACAGATGATGTTGGCTTATATATTCCCTGGCCAACTAGTTAGGCAATGACCATTTCCTAACAGAATTAATGGAATCACTTGCCTCCAGAGGTTGTGGGTGCTCCAATAATGAGGTTTTTAAGAAGAAATTGGACAGACATTTGTCTGAAATTCCTGCTTGAGCAGGGGATTGGACTAGAAGTCCTCCAGGGTCCCTTCCAACTCTCTTATTCTGTTGTTAAAGATGGAGGTTTGGCTTAGAAAAAATCACACTATTGCTTTAGACCAGGAATGTCAAACTCAGATTGTCACATAATGTATCGGGACATTTTTCTCCTTCACTATACTGGATGTGTACGTGGCAAGTGTGTGACACATCCAGGCCGTGGGCCGCGAGTTTGATAGCCCTGCTTTAGACTCTCATCTTGAGTTTTTGTATAATAGTGTTCTCTCTTGAAAAACCCCTTCAAATAGAGCCAATTGTTTTATCCTTTAAATTGTTTTCATTTCCATTCTCACTTGACCTATTCTTATCAACACTCCATCAGTTTTTTCTTTCTACTCTAACTTTCCTTCCCATTCTATTTTTGCTATTCTCACCTTTGCCTTCCTTCTTTCTTACTACAACTCATGTATTACATGTGATGTTTTATTTAGTTTAAGCCCAATAATTGTTCAGTTACACCATTTTTAATTTTAAATTCTTTTTGCCTTCATTACATTATCCAATTTATTCATTTTCATCTGTCTCATAGGAGGGAAAAATACGTAATCCTTTTGGTGTTTATTTTTTTTATGCTAGATAATCTGAGAGTTGGGTGTTTTGTCAGAGAGTTTAATAACTTGAAAAAGAATAGAATAGAATAGAATAGAATAGAATAGAATAGAATAGAATAGAATAGAATAGAATAGAATAGAATAGAATTTTTTATTGGCCAAGTGTGATTGGACACACAAGGAATTTGTCTTGGTGCATATGCTCTCGGTGTACATAAAAGAAAAGATGTTCATCAAGAATCATAAGGTACAACACTTAATGATAGTCATAGGGTACAAATGATACAAGCAACAAAATTACAGTAATACAGTCATAAG